TTAAACAATATGTAATCAAAAATTAATCTAATTTTTTTTGATAAATATATTCTATAAATCTTCAAATATTAAATATACTTATTTAATTGCAAGTTAATATGTAAAATTTTGTGTAATTTCATTTTAATTTAAATGTATCAAGTTGGTGTATCATGCTTAATAAGACAACCAATACCTGAATTGGAAAGTTAGCAGTAGTAGCAGGAATCTGACTTGAGATATATACTAAAGAGGCACCCTTTAGGCAAACCAAAAATGGTAGCTTAAAAAGAGCAAATGACTCAGTAAACCAATTTGGGAGTTGTTAAAATAGGTTGTAAGACATAGGGGGAATATACAGGTTATTTAATATAATTAGTAATGAAACAAAAACCCAGGTTAGGTGTAAGTGGGACACAATACAGAACTCTGGTAGGTTTAGGTTGCAGATAAATATGTCTAAGTCCTATGTTTAAATAAATATATAGTGATAAATAATATATAAAATAGATTTATACTAGCTATGTTAAATATACTAATAAAGACTAAAGAGCATGACCTCATCTTAATACCAAAAAAAAAGTTATACATATAACTAGTTGTATACTTGTTTGATAGTTTAATATAAACATATATCTATATGAACATGTATCTGATAAGTATTAATAAAAAATTAAAAGATCAAAAAAGTTATCTTAATACTAAAAAAAAAATTACTATTAATAAGAATAGTAATTCAAATGAAGTAATTGGATTGTTATTTTCTAAGCAGTAGATTTAATGTTTAAATCTTATTAGCATTAAAATTTTAAAAAATAATTTTATTTTAACAACTTATCTATAATTTGAAGTTTGTAAATTTTGTAATTCTGATTATATTAAAACTAATTTTTAAAGTATGCAATATTATATAAATAAATTTAAAAAGTATATATTCAAATAAAAAGTCTGTTTAAAAATCTTAAATAAAAAGATAATATAATGTTTAATAATATTACTTATAAAGGTTTTGATTTAAAGAAGAAAATCTAAAACAGATAATCTGTATAAGCAAGACCTCTAAATAAAAAATTCATTAATTTAATTACTAATTAATTTGAATATAAAGTTATATTATGCAAAACTAACTATATTAATAATATAAAAAAACTTACAAGAGTAAATAAAATATTAATAAGATTATAAAAAAAATACTAAATTAGATATAAAAGACTTTAATAATAATGTTTTGAGAATAAATTGTATAAAACATGATAAATATCTAAAGATATAGATAAGCATTTAGAACTTCTTAACTAACATTGATATTAAAGATAATTTAATAATACAGTAAAGAATGCAGTATAAAAAGTTCAAATAAATAATATTTATAATTAGATTGCAAATATGGCAACTAGTATAGAGCCTATATATAAATAGACTATTTAAATTAAAATATCAAAAATATATATATAACTAGATGTATTCTTTAATATAAAATAGTTTTTCTAAGATATTTAACTGTGAGCTCTTATGTTCTACTATATTGAATAAAAAAACTAGTTAATATAAAAAAAATAAATACTATTTATAATTTAAACTAGTTAAACTTTAATTAGTTAATTAACTTAATTTAAATAAATTTTAGATAACTAGTTAAGCAAATTCTTAATTAGTTGATTTAATACAACTTGTTAAAAATCAAATAACTAATTTGTAAAATTAATAAAATATATAAATAAGAATAAAAAGTCTGAAAAGATTTAAAAGAAACTAAATAAATATAAAAAATAAGCAAAATTAAAACAAAAACTTATAAAAGTTTAAAAATTTCTAAAATAAAAATAAAAAGTAAAAATTATTAATTTAACTTTTAACTTAATTAACTGATTAAGATATTTTTTTAATTTAAATTATTAAATACTATATGTTATATAAGTGTTATATTTATATTTTTATAAGCAAAAATTTATCTAATTGGTTAATTTTTATAAATCTACTTATGATTATTTACTAATCAAATTGTATAACTTTATTATAATATTAAATTATTATATTAATAAAAAAAACCATTAAAAAGTTTTTTTTTTTGTCTAATTCAAAATGTTATTGTTAAACCAACTCCTTTTAAAGATTATTTTTAAGGTTAGTTTTCTAACATTTTTTCAAAACTAAAGATAATATCTGTTGTTATTCAAACAATTGATTTGTATTAGCCAATCAGATAAATTTTTACTTGAGTTTATTTTAATCTTTTACAACTTCTGTGTCATAGCTGTAATGCCGTGAGTAGTGATTATCCTAATAAATGTTTACATCATTAGTATCCACAGATATCCATTAATAACTATTACTATTTATAGATCATTTGAATTTGATTTACTTAAAATGATTTAAAAAAAAACTTTTAATACATAATAGTTTTGAAGTTTGCTATTTATTATTACTAGTAATTATTACCAGTATGCTATATTTTAAAAAACGAAACTAAGAAACAGGATTTATATATACCAAATAATAATGTTCAGAACCTGAAAATCTTATATAACTTAAATTTGAGGTTATAATCTTTAACCTTAAACTTTGTTTAAAATCAAAATTAAAAATATTTTTAATTTCAATTTAATTTTTATTTAATTTATACTTTAAAATTAGTTTACTTAATAACATTTATAATGTTTTTAATAATTTTTTTTAATTGCAAATGCAGGTTTCTCACATCTTTAGTAAACGGCTATTATTATACCATATAAAGGTTTATGAGAAGTGACATGAAGATTGTTATGTTACATACGAATCATCTTTTTCAATTATTCTATCTACGTATGAATTTTACATATAGATACGCAGTAACATCTCAAGAACAGTTTTAAATCAATACCCTTTTGGGTACAATCGTCAGTCTTTGTTTGAATAACACAATGAAAAAATAATCAAAAAAGGTTACGTATTACCATTAATTATGATTAATTACGTATTTAATTTATATAATCTTTATTAAGAAGTTCATTGAAATCGAATACGTATTCATGATTTCTTAGTATCATCAACACTGTTGTTATTAACGTGAACCATATTATCGTAAACTTTTTTACCATAATAAGTACCAATACCAACAGATAAAATGCTAAGTGATAAAGGAATAGGTCTACCATATTTAATCATCCGAGGAATCATGACACCAGCTAATAAGATGGAAGCAACTTGAAAAATACCAGAGATTGCAAATTAATCAAATAATAAATAATAATACGTAATGATGATGATAAATTCAGTAAATGAAGGTGATTACCGAAAGCTGTTTCATGTCCATAACGTTTATTCTTTTGAATTAAATATCTATTATTTAATTTAATCTGATTTTAATCTAATTTTGAATAATAATAGATATGAGTACACAAAGATTTATTATTTTTTTTTTTTACTTACCCACCAGCGGCATATCCCATACCAATACCTACACCTGACACTATGGAAGGTACTGATTTTTTGGAAGCGTAGCCAGCAATCCCACCAACAGTACCTAAAACACACGATATACGAGTTATTTTTACAGAAATTTATCGTTTATATATTTTATGATCATATAATTACATAGTATTGCCATTGCGTAAGCAGGATGATAAAGCATGTTTTTTGGATTTTTACGTAATTCAGTAATTGCAATGAAAGATCAGAGAATAAATCAAAGTCACATGATATATCCAATAAAGTGAGTGGGATGATCAATCCTAAAATAAAAAGTGAGGTGGGATGATCAATCCATAAAGATAAATGATAACGGTAAAATTTCAACAGTTGGTTGGATTTTATCGAGCAATAGGTAACGGTAAATCGTTCTAAATCGAAAAACAAATCAAATTATAATCGAGATTTTCACTCTCTTCAAAACCAAATAAATTATTTTAACTCAATTAGCTTAAACTATGTTAACTATGTCGAGGATTAATGACAAGTAAAGACGGTTTGTTTTCTATCGTTATCATACACTTAATGATATAAATGGTTATACGAGTACATATAAATTGTAACAAAAAAGTATCAAACTTAAAACTGTTACTAAATAGTTTCTTTGTACTTGGGAAAACCGAATAGAATCGTTTTATGGCGAAAATTATGGTAATACAGAATTACTTTATATCTATTTATTTTTTTTGCTGTTACATGATTTAGTAATGAAATATTAGCAAAGAAGATTGGTCGATGTTAGCTATATATAGAAGGTAAAAGTCGTGTACCCATATTATCTGTCGATCAAGACTGGTTGAAGTTAGAAACTAGGCAAGTATGTATTATATGTTTTTTTTAATAACGATAACGTTTCAAGGCGAGGGTTTATATATTATATACAAATTGTTTTAACGAACCTAATATTTTATTTAAACATAGTTTAGTACTCGAAAATGATGTAGATTTTAAAAATATCTGTTTTATAGGGATGATGATGATTAGGACAGAATTAAAAAAAAAAAATTTTTTTTTGATAAGTTACCTAAAAATATCTAAATACTAAAAATATCTTTATGTGTACAAAAGACCTACCAATAGAAATTATTATTGCAATGTATCACTTCGAAAACAATGCATATTTAAATACCATTAAAAATATCTTAGTTACTTTTGTGGGACGATGAGGCGTTCTTAAAACTATCGTCATAATTAGAAAAAGGATAGGGCTGAAGAACATCTCTGCCACGATTAACTATATAAACTATAACAGCGATTTAGAGAGAAGAGTTAAACCTTCTCAATAGTATTATATTATAATTATATTTTTTCTTAGCTTATATTCTTATATTTAGATAATTTTAAAACATTCCGTTTTACTCCGCATATCGATACGTAATAAAACAATAAAAATGTCAGTTACATTATGCAGCTCAAACACTATAAGCAAGCATAATAATGACCCATATAGTATTGTCTCTTCTTGCACACCTTCAAAAAGTCTCTTAAAGATGAACAACGATAGTATAATCGCAAACCGAACTGATAAATCTTCTCAAACATGGATAATGAAAAAACTCGATGACCTTAATCCATCATTAGTATTGGAAAATAATGCAAGTGTTGCAAGAGACCATTTGGGTGAATATAAAGAAATAATTATCATTTATTGAACATTTTCAAGATTTTCAAAGATTTTTTTAACCTTTTTTTTTTTTTTTTTTTTGAACTTATAAGCCAACGAAAGAACTTTTCTCGCATGGCTTAGGACATCTCTCTCGTTCATAAGCATTGGAATAGGTGAGTTGACATATATATATTTATATATATATATTATATATATAAATATACGTTATTTTTGTTAATTTATCTATTGTTTCTAATGTCAAATATATATATTTTTTCAAAACGCTATTAGCGATCACACAATTATTCAGGTTAACAGCAGGATCATCCGATTCACATAAAGATGATAAAGTTGGTAAAGGACTAGGAATAGCTTTTATAGTTCTTGGAATTATCTTTCTTGGATTTGGCCTCTTTAGATATTTTAATTCTCAACAACTTATGACAAAAGGTCGTTTTCCTGCTAGTAGAGGTAGTGTTGTATTGGGGTCTGTGTTAACGATTTTTACACTAGCTGGTTGTTTCGTAGTTATATTGGTTATAGATAAATGAGATAAAAAAAATAAGATAAATGAGATAAATGAGATCATGTGAATGGTCGGATTTGGGAATGTTCGTAATTCTTACGGACAGATACAGTCACGTGACATTTAGAGTTTTGTTAATACAGCAATAGCGTAGACTTTTTTAACAATTACCTAATTCTGTGTAATTTCAAAATCATGTGTATGAAATAGTTCCATTATTAATTGATTCTAGAGCATTCTAGTTATATTTAAGGCAAGCTTATAAATAAACCCATCTTATCCAAATCAATGTTTTTGAATTTTTTTTTACAATGTCGTATTTTCAAACTCAATATTCTAGTTTAAGAGATTTTTCGCCCTTTGATGCTTTTAAGAACGTACAAGACATAAGCAAGCCTGTTCAACAACACTTGCTTAAGGTCTACTTAACGCTTAGTACCGTTTGTTTGGTTACTGCGGCCGGAGCTTACGCTCATACCCACAATTTGTTCTTGTTTAATGTATGTTTTACACGGATCTCTTATTTATAAGTTTTTAGTAGATAATTTTGGTTAACAATATAACTTTTAGGGCGGTCTCTTGTCAATAATGCTAGGTCTTGCGTCGTTGATAGGCATTATGTGTACACCGGACACTCCGAATAACAAAACTTTACGTTACGGTTTATTATACGTATGTCATGTTTTTTTTATTAAAAATTGTAATGTTATAATGTTATTATTTAGATTCTATTGACATTGACTTGTCTCGAACTTGTTCCCTTTTTTTTTTTTTAGAATTTTGCATTCATGGAAGGTCTTTCGATCGGGCCTCTTATGGAAATTACCCTTATGATTTCTCATAGGTAACTTTCATAATTTCACGTATTGACTTCTTTTTTTGACTATTTTTGACGAACATTTTTTTTCGATTCATTTTATAGTTATCATATTATAGTCAATGCCTGCATCTTGACCTTCTTAATCTTTGGTTCTTTCACATTGGGCGCTCTCTTGAGTAACAAGAGATCCTATATATATCTTGGAGGAATATTGGGTTCTGCGATTTCAATGTTATTTTGGATGTCAATCATTAATACGTTCGTTGGTTCTGTGGCCTTGTTTTCTGCAGAACTTTACATAGGATTAGGAATATTTTGTTTATACGGTAATTACTATTGTGTGATTTATATTATTGATTGATAATTTTTAAAAGTTCCACGTATTCATTTTTTATTGATTGATTTATATTTAATTATTTTTTGTAGTTATATATGATACTCAACTCATCATTTATCGTGCTACTCAACATCATTCTCGTGATGTTGTAAGCCATACACTTGATTTGTTCATTGACCTTATCGGCATATTCACTAGATTGGTTGTTTTGATGACGAATTCTGAAAGAAAAACAGACAATAGGAGACGTAAGAATACACGAACTGGAACTAGTTATGTTGGTTTATAACCTGTGTCTTTGATTATGTCTATATGTTAATTATTCGCAATAGACTTTAAATATTTTTGCATTGAGTATAATCGTTTAATAAGACTAATTTTGCTAATTTTGCGTAAAACGGGTTCGACTTTTTTTTTTCGTCATTAAAATTTGTGATGGGTATTCTTTTTTTTTTTAACTATCCCAGGTGAAGCACCATGGGGCGCGTGTGGCGCTCTTGATGATGAGTTTTCATATCTATAACTATTGCTCAATTTTTACCAAATGTAATTATATAATCGCTTTTAATTAATAAAGCTATCTTTTAAACAAAAAGTTATTTTTAATCTTGAAACGAACGAACGAATGAAATGAAATTTAATATCATGTTTATACTGTATAGAATAAAGCTCACATTTGGATATACAATTTAACAAATTTTTTTTTATTCAATCTAAAAAAAAAATATAAACAACAAAAAAACCAGTTAAACCTATGCTAAAATAACGAGATAGTAGTTTAAAAAGTTTTTTTTTTTTTTTTTACAAAAAGATTAAAACAAATAAAAAAATATATTTTTAGAATTTTTTTTTCTTTTTTTTTTTAAAAAAAAAAAATTGGTAAAAAAAAACGAGTAATATAAACAAAAGGAAATGCATAGTTATCCCACCCAATGGTTTTTTTTTTTGATTTTTTTTTAAACAATAATACAGAAATGTTTAAGAATAATTTTTGGATTTTTTTTTTTTTTACTACTACTTACAAAAGAAAAAAATAAAAAGAAAAATGAAAAGTCTATGCAATTTAAACAAGAAAAGAAAATGTCCCAAAAAGAAAAGAAAATGTTAAAAAAGAAAAAAAAAAAGAGAAACGTCACAAAGAAAGAAAAATGTCACAAAAAATGTATAATGAAAAGACAAAAATAAAAAAAAAGACAATAATGATAAAAAGATAATTTGTTTTTTAAATTTTCTAGCCTGCTAGTTCTCTCCGAAGCAAAAAAGTTCACCAATCTTTTAGTATATAATATCGTATGATCTCTTACTATATATTAGCATATGATCTCTTACTAATGATCTCTAATAATTTCATGTATAACTCAACAAGTTCGGTAGCTAATTCAACAATTCATAACAGGATAAATTCAATAATTCATAACAGGATTTTTAACCAGTTTCACAAGATGAAATTGATTGGGAGGAGGTAAAGCAGGAGTATATCTTGGAGGAGGAGGAATATGTATAAATTGACCATGATTATTACCACCATGAATAACACCATGTCGTGGGGAAGTTGTTATTGGAATCAAAATTTGTTGAACTTTTTGATTAACATCATTTCCATTTGAAGGTGTACAAACTTGTACAGGAATAAACATTTGATTAAATTCATTTCCACGTCTCTGGTGATATTGTTGTCTTTGTTGATAATGGTTTGCTTGTCTTCTTTTATGTGAATATTGTTGATTTTGTTGATTTTGCTGATTTTGTTGGTTTTGAGGGTATTTATAGTACTTCTTGTTGTTACTATTACCATTACCATTGTAACTATTACCATTGTAATTATTACCATTGTAATTATTATTATTATTAATATTATTATTATTATTATTGTAATTACTATTATTATTATTATTATAATGATCATTTTTTACAAAATCATTTTTGAAACCGTTATTATAATAATCATTTACAAAATTGTTTTTTGAAGAAATGCGTCTACGTGGTGGTTGTTGAGGTTGAGACATTTTAACCATAACTTTAGATAAATTTTGAGGTGGATGAACTGGAACAAAAGTTGGTGGCATTGGTGTATAAGGTGGAGGTGGTGAGATCGGTGGTGAAAGTGGAGGAGAAATCGGTCGATGAACATTATCAACTCCATCGGATGTAATGGAGAAACGTTGTTTTGATAATAAAATCTTTTCATAAAAAGCCATTTTACGTTCGATAAAAGTATTAATTAAGACTAATTTACGTAAATGATTATTAGTGTCCTTTCGAATGTTTGAGTTATTGGTTGATTGATTGCTACCTATGGACTTTATTTTGATGATTGAAAGTTTATAAATATAAGTAAGATCGATTGCAGAAGTTGAGGTAGCCATCTTTTTCTTTTTTTTGAATACAAAGAATGAATATTAAAAAACAAATATTAATAGGAATGAAAAAAAAAAAGAAAGGGAAAAAAAATTAACAAAGATGAGAAAAAAAAAAAAAATGCCGAAAAAAAACAAAAATGGAATGTATTAAAAACAAAGCCGGCTTTGTCAAGTTCCGTTGCAAAAATATGTAAAGAAAAATAATAAAATAATATTGCAGGATGAGTATTTTTTTTTTGATTACTTTTGCTATTATCTAACAAGAACCAGTGAAAATATATATATATAATATGGTTTTTTCGTGAAAATAGAATTTTTACAGAGGTCGTGAAAGGAAAAAAAATGATAAGATGAAAAGAAAAGAAAAAAATATTAAACGATTAAATGAATACAATGTCCTTTAAAAAAAGAAAAAAAAAAGAAAAAAAAGATGAGAATTCCTTCAAAAGGGAAAAGGAATAAAAGGAATGATATTTATACGGAGAACAAGAATCCAAACAAAGGTCACAAAGTACTCCTGTGTGGTATGTACAATGTAATGCGAGTGAATAAGCCACAACCACCACAATATCACAAAACTCGATTTCTTTGTGATCACCCAATTTGATAATTATTTCAGTTATGCGTATGGCATCATTGTTCGTTTGTTTATCGTGTGTTTATTAAATAATATATTAATTGCTCATGGAAATACTATTTCTTAGCTTTTAATAGCACGCAGTAGTTGATGAAATCACAAAGGATGTAACGTGATGCTAATTTTAAGTATTATCCTAACGAACATAAATGTACCAAATTGGTCGAAATTTATCCTGTGCAAAGGAGACCATATAAACAAAATGTAAGTCCGGGAAACACTAATTCTTCATTGCATCTTTTTTTTTTTTTTTTTCCTATTTAAATTAATTATTCAAAGGGAATGAATGTAGGAGATTAAAAAAAAAAAACTTGATGATAATTTTGGTGATCTGGCTGAGTCAGATTTCCATCGATCATCGCTTTATCACCTTTACATGAAATTTACCGTTGGGAAAGTTGTAAAGCTAAAGATAATCCACACAATTTAAGCTCGGCCATACAATATAAACAAACAGATCTGTTTAGAACACCTAGAAAGAAATGTTAATATTAAAAAAAAAAGATTACATGCAACAGGAACTTTACGAAACAAGGGAGAATCAAACATATAAGCTTAAAAGGCTAAATAAGTAGAAAAATTGGTTCATACACACTAACCTTGACATCATATAATAGTAAATATGGAATTTGAATTTATTTACGCCTTATAGTTTATATGAAGATCTATGAAACAACAGGGTGAGTTTTCATTTGATCATCGAATGCAATTCAACATTGGTTATCCTTTTTCGGGTTAAAAAGTCCGATTTTGTAGGTTTCAGTTGCAATTCTTATGAAATAAAACAATAAATCCTTGCACTCAATACAGAAAATGAACCCTGTAAACCGGTTAGCATTCATGATTTCGGAATTCTCTAACCCTTTTAGATATTTGATATCAAAAAAAAAAAAATTCTAATTAAGTACGAATATGTCTTTTTCTGATGTCATTATAATTCTTATTGATCCTTATTGTTGATTATTGCTATGATAAAAGGTTCCCTGTCATTCCGTTACTCGTCATTTCGGTTAATTTTTTCGCAGTAGGATTTAACGATGATACTTCTAAATCTTTATGATAAGGCTTAGTTCAAAGCCTAAATTTTGCTCTTTCTTTGATGTCGATCTGTCGCTTAGATTTACGAAAATTCTATATTCTAAAACATTCAAATTCTTAAATAAATCAAGCTATGTAACACGTACGATAATCAATCAAAAAAAAAAGGTTTCATTACAACGGTCTGAAAAAGAAATGACAAACCTAATCATTGTTTTTAATATGAGCTAATTGAGCTTTTTAGGTAATTTGTATATTTGTACGTACGTACGATATTTGTATTTGATGATATCGATCTTTCTCCAAAAATCTCACATAATCTGCAATCCATTACTTTCGCTAGAGCATAAGCATGCAATTATAAAGATTTAATTTTAATAAGTACGTACGTACATACATACGTACATACGTACGTACGTACGTATGTAGACCCTAATCTAAAAACATTTTAGCAAGATAACTATAAGTGCTGATTGATATTATTTACGAAGGCTAGAAATATTTTGTCAGTCTTTAATGTTTTACAAGATATCATACGATATCATACTATTATTCGAGATTTGATATGTTAAGATATGTAAGGATATGACTTTATGGTATTAAAAAATATATACGTATATAATTTAGATTTCATTTCTATATTAGTACTATTCAAAATCATATGGAGACTTCCACGTGATATGTTATCACTGCATTAACTACATTAACTACATTAAACTACATATTTACTGTATTTTAATCAACCCTTTGATCACTCTATTATGTATATTGTTAGTCCGTTGCATGCTTTTTGTCGCAATTGTTAACGGTCACTAGTGTATGATTGTAATCTTAAATAGAATAGTCAAAAGTCTTTTTGTTTCGGTAATTGTTAATAATATATATATATCGATATGTTTGTGTGTACAAACGCGAGTTGGTTTTGAGTTGGTTTTTTCCACGCAAATATTGTCTTCATCTCTTTCTCAATTCTTTTAAATTCTTTCTCAATTCTTTCTCAATTCTTTTAAATTCTTTTAAATTCTTTTATTCTTAAAAAATTTCCTGCTGTCTCCTTGATTAATGCGTTTAAAGAATCTTTCATCAAAGTCTTCCTCAATTCTTGTGTAATACGTTTAAATTGTGTGCTGCCATATGCAAATCATACAGATTTCTTCTTTTATCGTTATTTCCTTTTCTGGTGATAAATATCTGTAACACAATACATAAATACCAATACCAAGTTACTATCTATTCCGGGATCAAAGTAAACAAATGTGTGATTCGGACAAACAACATCTCTCTTCTGATCCAAGAATAATCTTAAATGTCGGCGGTATCAGAGTAATATATATATATATATATATATGATCACGTGCTCCTTGATTCCCCATTTCTATCTCTATTTCTAAAAAGATATTATATTATTAGTACGAAACATATAGATCAACTCTCCTAGCATATCCTCAAACTCTTCTCGGTACAATGTTTCAACCACGTAATGACTCCTTACTTCAACCAACCAACAATAGCCTCCATAATCATAAGAATGAATATTTTTTCGACAGAAATGGTTATGCGTTTCGTTATATCTTAGAATTCTATCGTACTGGTAAAATCCTTTGGCCAAAATCCACTAACCCTTTGCGTGCTTCCATTCCTCAAAATTCCTTGAAACCTTCCGTTACATCTTCTATGACCGTAGATAATGACAAGATTGATTGCTCGGTTCATCAGTATACCATTCCAACCGCTACTGATACTTTGGCAAAAATAATGCCTGTATCGTTACACGAACTTCAACGCGAACTCGAATTCTTTCAAATTCCTTCTTCTCTTTCTCTTTCCTCTCCAGCTTCACAATCTTCAATTTCATATAACATAGCTGCTCAAATTCTTGATGATTTCATTTATATTTTAGAATCTTTAATTTGTGAATCAATTGAATCATTTTCTCAAAAAATTACTATCAAATTTTATGAGGATTTTCGACCTGTTGAAGTTTTTATGGCTAGATATCGAAGAGATGATGCTTTAAAAGGATTTGAAGGTTGTGGATGGGAAATTTTGGATTTATTTGAACAAAAAATATCTAAAAGATTGAAAATTATGTTTCCAGGATTAATTACTTATGTTGGTTATGTTAATTCTAATGGTAGTGTTAGTAGTGGTTATGGTAATAATCTAAGTTTTACTTTAGGAAATACTTTTCCACAAAATTTTAATGGGAAAAAAGATGTTAAAGCTAAGGTCTATAGATTATGCTCATTTTTTGATCCAAGAGAAGTATTGGCTAATACCTTGAGTTTTGAAGATATTTCTATCTCTGGAATTAATAATAATTCTGGTGGTGGTTCTTACAATAATGATAATATTAATGTGTCACCTAAAAAATTATAATACTCAATAAAATATATTAATATAGAAATATATATTAATACATATATATTATACGTACATATAAATATATAATATTTATACATATAAATATACATACATATAATATATATATTTATACATATAAATATACATACATATATATATATATTTATACATATAAATACATATACGTATACATATTTAGTATATACGTATACGTACTGTACACTTATTATATGTTGATATTATTCATTGTTAGTCTATTTTCTATTTGCATAAATAAAGTTTTATAGATAATATATGCGTAGCATTAATAAAGATAACGATAAGAAATTTACTTTGATGAATTCCAATAATTTAAAATGTCAATGAATTATTATTTATTAAACTTTATACATTTGATAAATAAATAAACTTTTTGATTACTAAATCATTACTTAATCGGAGATTCATTTCAATCATCCTATTCAACTTAAAAAAATATGTAAAAGAATTCTTAATTCATCTGTAACTTCTACCATATGATGCTGAGAATTCCAATTTCTCAACTACGTAGAACGAGTTAAAGTTTATTATTTAGCCATTTTCCTAAAATATATGTGGCACGTACGTACCTTGAATCGTATATTTTTTTTTTTTGTCAATGGTTGAGCTTGATCAAGTGGTGTTCAGATGTTCTGTGGTGACATGCAGTGGATGTGAAACTCGGGGTAAATTTAACTTGAAATCTATATCTTGAAAAAAACATACACACATACGTACATATGTAATAAAAGATTTTATTTAGCGCATACATTCTCATTCATGAAAAAAAATTGCATTAGTCGGTCCAATGAAACCAACATACCAACATTTTCATATTGTATTCATCACAGAAAAAATAATTAAAAATTGTGGTATCTCGATTGGAATGTCTGTAGATTTCCAAATTATTGGTGCCTTGGTTGTCAGACTGTTGTGTAGCGTTGAAGACGGAAACGGTGCATATTTGGCCTTTAAAGTTTACCATGAGTAGATTTGTGTAGATTGAGTAGATTTGTTAGATAAGCTAGTCATGACAGAACATTTTCATTATCATATGATTTTGATTCAATAAGATTTCAAGATTAGGGAAAAATAATAAAAACTTGACATTAGAGCTAGAATCAGAGTTAGATTAAAATTTTGATCAAATTTTTGTTTTATTAAAATAAGAAAGGTAACTTCATATCAAGATTTTGAGCTACAAAAGATTTTTATCAGCTAAATCGCACTTTTATCATAAAGCAACCCCAGGTCGGAATGCATCGAAGATGGCTGGCATTAAGCAATATTCACCAATCTAGTCTATAGCAAAAGGGTATTATCTCTGTCTAGAGTAGTGATACGTAGTAAATGACTAATCATTTTCAAATTTTCAAATGACCCCAAAATGGCTGGCCATTTCATTTGGAAATGACTCGTGACCAGATGACCATGGTCATTCGAAGGTCATTTAGTCATTACGCATATAGAGTTTGTATCCCATACATATCTTAATTTTTCTACATAATGATAATACATGTAGGTTTCGAAATTAGCTAGAAGCTAAAACATTGATCATGAAAGATAATTTCATTTGGGTCATTTAGTCATTTACATATAAAATAATCTTATTGGTCAAAAAAAAACTTTTCATTAACTTTTATATAGATGTAAAATGTGATTCAAAATATATGCAATTTATTATTTTGAACAACTTGATACATATAAGTATTAATTGACTTGTTAAAATTTTGGCTTTAAAATACAGCTACAATTTTATTGATTATATACGTATTTTAATTTTGTTTGGCGATTGGCATTGGCGTTTACCCACCTTTCCTATTGGTCGCAGACAAATCTTATTTCCGATTGCGTCACATTTGGTGTGGCTTATTGATTCAACGATTTTTTTGTTATAAAGTTTTTTCAAGTTTTTATCAATGCTATACGTACGTAGAACCATTGTGGAACCTACACTTTTTCATTATGTATTTGAATGGTTTGTTCTAAAACTACGAGTTCTACGTATTAGGTGCGTATATATTAAAACTTAGGTGCTTATTTTTTCTTAGTTTCTTAGTGTATCGGAATAAATTACTTAGAGAGTATATACTGTCATTTTATAATTTTAGGCTTTATTGCAAAATTAACATATATACATATAGAAAAAAAGAAATAAAAAAAAAACAATTTAAAAGAAATAAAAAAACATAGTTTAAAAAAACCTTTAAAAAATAGTTATTTGCAACAAATGTAGAACTTGGAGCAATCTAATAGGCTTTATTGGTAGTGTTCAAAAACTCAAAGACTCATTAACAGTTTAACAACAATCAAAGCATTAGAAATAACCAAAAGAAACAAAAAACTAAAAAGCAACCTTTAAATTAAAAATACAAACAAGTTTGCTATTACAAATAAATTGTTTAATAAAAATTAAATATGTTTTTTAAGATAAATTAGTTAAAAAATAAAATAAAATAAGTATTAATAAAATAAAATAAAATACTTAATAAATAATTTAGTTTAAAAGTTTATAAAAAAAGTTGCAACTTTAGTATAAAATACAAAATAAGCAAAAATAGTATAATGAAAAAAAGCAATAAAAAAATAAAAAATAAAAATAAATAAAATAAAAAGTAATCATTAAACTCTCATTAACAATCATTTTGACACAAAAATGACAAGAAAAAAAAACAAAGTTTTCTCACAAATACCAATAAAAAACCATCTAAACAGTACTAAGTTAAAAGAAGCAGCAACAAAAAGTATACTAAACAAGCATAGAAACTAGAGAAAATACAATAATATTAGAGCAGTTATAAGAGGAAAGCAAGGCTTTTAGAAAAATTTTAGTATTGAAACAATAACTGTAAAAATTGTCATCTGACTCTGAAAGTAAATCTGTTTATATTGTACAAAAGTCATATAACATATCAAGCAACAACAATGAACATATGCAAGTAACTATATACAAAATAGATAAATCAATATATAGCAATAAAATAGAAGAATATTCTAAAAAAGAACAAATATAGTAATAGATAAAAGTTTGTTCAAAGAGTATAGAAGAAATATAAAAGCAATTTGTATAAAAAGAGTATACTAAATAGGAGTTTCCAAATTGCCTATTTTTAAGGCTCAGTCTGGTCCATATTTAGAGTTAAAATTTTTTTTCTGACCCAACCTGGCCCACATTTAGAGTTAACATTTTTTTGCCAGTTCAATTCATATATATTAAATTTTTTCTTTAGTCTAGCCTAACCTGGTCTGTATATATTAAATTTTTTCTTCAGTCCAGCCTGACCTAATGTAGTCTGTAAAAATTTCTTATATAATTTTATAAAATTTTAGATCTGTATTGGTTCACAATTATAAAATTTTATAAATTTTTTAGTCTAGTCTAACTTACAATTATAAAATTTTGTTTCAGACCTAACTCAGTCTACAAAATTTTATAGATTAGACTGGGCCTGTTCAGGCTACAGGACCCAATGCAGGCCTCTAATACTGAGTATTGAGCAATGTACATAATAACCATTTTTTTAATGAAGCTAACAAAACATATATAGTGTTCAATAGAGAGAATAAGATTGTAATAACACTTATCAAACAAGATTCAAATGAGATAACATTCTCATAAATTGCAAAAGAGATAATAAAAAAAACTAAAAAAGAATAGTCAGAGAAAAAATTAGATTTAGTAAAACAAACACAAGAGGTGGTAGTAAGAGAAGAAAAAAAAATCTAATAGCAAATAGTAATTGAAAAGAAACAAGAAAATCTGTATAAAGCAACACAAGAAAAAAACATAGCTAGTAAAAAGCTAAACAGTAAAAAACTATAAGATGTCATAACTGTTCAAAAAAAAAGATATAGAGGTAAATTTTATAAATAGTAGACAAACAGAAATACAGCTACTCATTCAAGAAAAGAAAGTTAAAGAATAGCTAGAAGAGCAAGAACAAAAGATGACAAAAGTAGTCAAAGATGCAATACAAGATATAATTGAAAAAGAAACAACAGAACAAAAAAGAAATCCAAAAATTAAAAAAAATTAACATAGTCAGAATATCACTTAAAGACAGTATATGAACACCAAATAGAAAAAACTGTAATCAAAAAATAATAATCTACTCGCCAATATACTAGCACAAAATATGCTAGGTACAATGTAAGAAGAACATATAAAATTCATCAAATGATCACTAAAAGACAACAAATATGTTAAAAAAATCAAAAAAGTTTTTAAAAAAGGAAACTTGTAAATTGAAGTAAACTTTAACTATGAATATAGCAGAAATAAAATAATATAAAGAATCAGTAAAAAGAAGAGTGATTGGTACAAACTAATACTAGAAGAAAAGAAAACAAAAAAGAAAAACAAAAAGTATACAATGAAAAAAATCACAAAAGAAAAAATATTATATTGAAAACTAAAGAAAAGATATATAACAAAAAAGATGATGAGACTAAAGCAGACATAAATTATAATGAAATCAATAAGAAGTCTGAAGGCAGTAAATGTTTAACAATATAGGACTTGTCATCAGATATTAACAAAAAAGATTTAGAATATATCTGTAGAAGATTTAAAAATACCCAAATAGTAAGAATTAAAAGATCAAAGTACAAAGCTCTAGTGATAATGCAACTAGAAAAAACCAGAGAGGTAAACATCTTTTGGATTATACTAGTTAACAATGACAAACTAGTATGAGTAACTAGAGGAAAAGAGAACTATAAAGCAAGAGAAAACCAAAAAATATATATAGCAAAGTTGATGAATCTATTCAGAAATGTCTCAGAAGTTCTACTATTATAATATCTAAAAAGCAAAGGTGTAAAGTCAGTCAATATTCTACTGAACAGAAACAAAAACTAAAGAAGAACAGCAATAATAATGTTTGCAACAGAAGAAAACATAAATGCAGCTCAAACAAAACCAATTTTGTATAACAACTTTCAAGTATGTTGGGTAAATAAAGGAAGAAAAATAACAGAAAGAAGAGAAAGTCTTAAAAAAGAAAGAGAAAGAAGCTAGAATAAACATAGCTAATTCTTTATTAGAGAAGAAAATACAAACAACAAGGAAAAACAAAGAAATAAAACTTTCATAAATAAAAATAGAATCAAAAATAGCTCAAGTTGAGAATTCAATTCATTAAAAGAAAGAAGCAACACCCAGAATTGATATAGATTAAACCAAGCAAGAGATACAGATGCAAGAGAAAAAGAAAAAGAAGATACAAAAAGTAAATCAGAAAATCTTAAAACACAAAAACAAGATTGAAAGTTACATATGAAGAAAATTTTAGAATAAATCTAAAAAAGACTAGAAAAACTAAAAGAGGCAAAAGACATAGCTAGGAAAGACCTAGCAAATTACTCCTAAGGGCACTTTAGTTAAAATTATAAATATGGATAAGGAGATCAGAAACTTTTTACACAAGAAGAGAAGAGCTTTCAAAGAAAGAAATAAAGAAGAATCTTCTAATCCAAGAAAAGAAAAAAAAAAAAAAGACAAAAAGAAAGCAAAAAACACAGAGACAAGAACAAGTAGTTAAAAGACAAATAGAAAGAAGAAAGAAAAAAAATAAAATTAGCCTGTTACAATATTAATGAACTTAAAACCAGAGGCTGAAAATTAGAAAATCTGCTAGGCTAGGCAAATGAAGAAGAAATAGCAATCCTGAAAATAACAGAAATAAACATTATAAAAAAAATATATATATATATTACTATATAATCTTAGTACAAGATTCAAAGACTACTAAGTTAATGCAGTATTAGATAAGAAAAAAGATCAGATATTAGAATTCTAATAGATGAAACCTAAAAAAACATATTAAAGCAATTAAAAAATTCAATAAATACATATTATCTGACCAACTCATATGATCATGACATAGCAATGTCTTGATATTTTTGGCAAAATTATGATGCAATGCCAAATATTTATGTTTTGTACAATTAAATGCCAACTATTCATGTTTTATACAAATATTATAGATAATTGTATGCACTTTCAATACAAGCTAAGTAATTACATTTTTTATTATTTTTATTTTTATTTTATTAAAATACTAATTATTATTTTACAATTACAGAAAATTAAAAATGAAAAACACAATTATTAAAAGTATTTCTGGTAAGGAATTTTTCAATAAATTCTTTTCAATTTTCTTCATTTTGTGCATTTTTCTGACAAATGTTTTACACTCAATTTCATCCAACACATTTTGTATTTGTGACTGCAGCAGCTTATTGGTAGTGGTTGCTCTTGATGGGTCATTAGTAGTTGCTCCTGGCAGATTATTAGTGATTGCTTCTGGCAGGTTATTAGTGTTTGCTCCTGGCAGGTCATTAGTGTTGCCTTCTGATGGTTCATCATAGTCAGTAGTTGCTCCTGACGATTCAAAGTCATCATTTGATGATACTTCAAGCTTATTGATACCACTTGCAAGTAATTTTTTGAGCTTCCTCTTTTAAGTAAAAAACCTGTCAAAACAAAATCAGCATTTGATGGCGTTTTATTTTCTAAAAAAAAAAAAAAAAAAAAAAAAAAAATAAATCGAATTGTTACAAAAAATTTAAATTGGAATTTAATAAATACTTTTGAGTGATTCTTCATTTTTATTTATAAATATCAATGCCTTTAAAAATCTGTTAAGGCCCTTTTGCTGCATAATAAACTTCAGTCATTTATATAATGCCAGACCTTTCTGTAACTTATGCCTCATAATTGACATGACTACAGCATCAGAATAGCCAAGTCCCTTTAGCATTTGAACTGCAGTTTTTCTTTCTGAATGGTTTGACAAATTGCAACCTCCAAATTCTATATCCATTGCTTTAGAAATAATCTGAAAGTATGACCTTAATCTTTTTTCATCTATTGCTTGACCGTAAAACTATTGGCCACAAAATTCAACTTGTAAAAAAAAAAAAATTAGAATAAAGAAATAAAAAAAATGCTAATATTAATATAGATGCTTACTCGAGCTTGCTGATATAGGTTTCAAATAAAAATTTAACACTATCATAACTGGATGCTTAATGAAATAGAACTCATAGTCATCAATTATACTTTTGATATTTGGTAAACTGATGACCTCAGCTTGACCATCATAATTTTTAAGTCCTTATTGATTTGTTTTTGATTTATACAATTTCATGTCGATTCCTCTATCAAGCTATTTTACAAAGCTACCTATCTAAAGATCATAATGTTTACCACCTCGCAGGGCCAAAAGAATAGAATTATAAAAAAAAATACACTGCAATAGCCCTTCTGGATTATTACATTGTATAGTATGATAGGAGAGAATTTGCTTAACTTCTTGCAAGGTCAACCTATCTAACCTGACACATTTGCCTAAACCTTTCACTAATAGATTTTTTAATTCATCATTAATAATAGTATTCAAATCAAAATATACCTTGGGGTTCAGAATTTCTACAGGCTTCGACATTACTGAATGTTGATTTAGGTATCACCAGATCACAGTCATACAGTTATGAATTGAAGACAAATGGTATTTACCACTATTCTTTTTTTCTATAGAATACACAAATTTTGATAGTTGGTCTTTAAGAACCTTTTTTGTATCGATTTTTTTGATTTTGCCTTCATAGCTCATGTCAAAATGAAATTCTTTAAGAACCTTAACCCAAACCTCTGTTGCTTTATGTATTGCTTGTACCCTTGCATTTTTATGAATAGCTTCAAGTTTGCCAAAGATAGGTTCTATATATCTAACTCACTAAGTTACATATTAGTTATTTTTTTGTAATAAACAAACTAAAGTTCAAAAAACTAGAAAAAAAAGTTACCTTATTGCTTATTAAAGAGGGCTCTACATTACTAGGTACACTATCTTCAATTTCAATATTACTGATCATATTTGACTTATCATTATTGTTCACACTATTCTTTATAGTTGGAATAGCATTCCTTTTCACTTTACTAGCTCTGGTGCTTTTGATCATAGTTGAAACAGCTTTAGTTATTGCATTTTTGTTTCCAGATGATGAAATGGCATTCATTGAGATTCATCTTTGATTTCAGAATTACAAGGTAGACACAGCTTTTGAAATATTTTTTACAATATTAAAATGTAAAAAAAATTTTTTTTTTTTAAAGAAAGTATAGTCATGGAAAAAAAGTATTGTGCTAGACAAAAGAGAAAAGAGAGCTTTTTTTTTTTTTATGATTATCAT